AAGGTTTATGAGCGAGTAATGAACAATAGAGCATATGCATATTTCGAGAAATTCAATTTTTGTTTTATAATCAATAGTTTGGATTCAGAACTAAGCATTGTACTATTGATGCCTTAGTAGAGGTAATTGAAAGGTTAAGACATGAAAAAAAATGCAAAAAATCAATTTTTTCTTGGATCTCAAAAAGCTTGATACTATTGATCATAACTTGCTAATTCAAAAATTGAAAGTTTACGGAATCAGAAGCAAAGCATCAGACTGGTTGAGCAGTTATCTAAGTAATCGTCAACAGCGTGTAGAAATACCTAGAAAAAGTTCTTGGAGGAAACAATGTTTGCGTAGTGCCACAGGGCTCAATTTTAGGTCCTCTGTTGTTCCTTATCTATATAAGCGATCTTCCTAGTGCATGTAAAAACACTGAAGTGTTTCTATTCGCGAACGATACAAAATTAAGTGAACTAGGATGCACAGCTTTATAAGTTCAAAATGATTTGAACAATATAAGTGTTTGGGTTAAATGCTAACAAACTAGCCTGAAAATTAGACAAATCAAGGCAATTGAAAGTAAGATTGAGTGCTTGCAATTTAAACCAATCATTTCCTATCAATCATAAAGACGTTAAAATTGCATCTTTTTGCAAGTATTTGGGATTAGAATATACTCCAAATTATCATTTCAAACACAAATTCAACATGTTTCAGAAAAATAGCAACTCAAAATGGAATCGATTGTAAGCTTCGCCATTTTGTTCTCAGAGATCAGCTCGGCAGGGGATATGATCCCCTGCCGACCCAAAAGGTCCCCATTTGTACTATTTTGAGATATCCTAATATCTATTTTTGACTGACTGACCCTAAAATTTTTGTAAAGGCGCCTTTGGCGCCAAAAAAGACTTATGTTGAGGGGGAAGCGCGCGCCAAAAAAACTAGACCTTTTGGTTAAAATTTTTCAAAAAGTGCCTACAAAACTCCTTTTTTTCTAAAATTTTGGCTGCGGCGCAAAAATATTTGGCCAAAACAGGGTCTTTTTAGTGCTTTGGGAGAATTCGGAAAATCAATTTGGTCGACCCTAAAAAAATGTTGCACTAATTTTCGATCATCCGCCTCCGCCTCGAGAAAACCCTAGATCCACCCCTGCAATCAAGCAATCGAACCTGAATTTGCATATACCACCTGTGTTTGCAAATGATGATCTACAGTCAAGATGCTGTACATTCAAAAATATTGCACAAAAAAAATTAGTTTTCATTGATCACTCGTAGAATAAGCACCCAAAATACCTACAGATATTTTTACTCGCTCGGTTGAATTCTCATAATAAAATATCAACATTTAGAATTTAAATTGTTTGCTCAATCATTTTTTTAGAAGATCCTAAAATATCAAGTACTTATAAAAGCTTTGACAAACTTCATCGGCTTTTTCAAAACACACTCAATGAATATGCACCTATGATACAGCAAAAACATACAGAAAAAATACCTCCACGGTTTACAAATCGAATAAAAAACTTCAGAACCGAGAGAAATAAATTGAAAAAAATTGAGCGATATGAACAATTTATACCAATTTCAGCGAGCGAGGCAACAGTTAAAAGAAATAAAAACTGCTAAAAAGACCTTAAATTCAATAAAAGTAACGTAGACTCCGGACAAACTTTCAAACTGCTCAATGAGCTTAAAGGAAAAAAATCGAGTTCATTATCAAATCCCAGTCTTTCCTCATGATGCGTTATCACCGAGCATCCTTCACCTTCGACTGTGGTGGAACAAATCAAAATATTTTTTGTAAGCATGGGTTTAACTATACTTAATATATTTGAGTAAGGTTTATGAGCGAGTAATGAACAATAGAGCATATGCATATTTCGAGAAATTCAATTTTTGTTTTATAATCAATAGTTTGGATTCAGAACTACGCATAGTACTATTGATGCCTTAGTAGAGGTAATTGAAAGGTTAAGACATGAAAAAAATTGCAAAAAATCAATTTTTTCTTGGATCTCAAAAAGCTTGATACTATTGATGATAACTTGCTAATTCAAAAATTGAAAGTTTACGGAATTAGAAGCAAAGCATCAGACTGGTTGAGCAGTTATCTAAGTAATCGTCAACAGCGTGTAGAAATACCTAGAAAAAGTTCTTGGAGGAAACAATGTTTGCGTAGTGCCACAGGGCTCAATTTTAGGTCCTCTGTTGTTCCTTATCTATATAAGCGATCTTCCTAGTGCATGTAAAAACACTGAAGTGTTTCTATTCGCAAACGATACAAAATTAAGTGAACTAGGATGCACAGCTTTATAAGTTCAAAATGATTTGAACAATATAAGTGTTTGGGTTAAATGCTAACAAACTAGCCTGAAAATTAGACAAATCAAGGCAATTGAAAGTAAGATTGAGTGCTTCCAATTTAAACCAATCATTTCCGATCAATCATAAAGAAGTTAAAATTGCATCTTTTTGCAAGTATTTGGGATTAGAATATACTCCAAATTATCATTTCAAACACAAATTCAACATGTTTCAGAAAAATAGCAACTCAAAATGGAATCGATTGTAAGCTTCGCCATTTTGTTCTCAGAGATCAGCTCGGCAGGGGATATGATCCCCTGCCGACCCAAAAGGTCCCCATTTGTACTATTTTGAGATATCCTAATATCTATTTTTGACTGACTGACCCTAAAAATTTTGTAAAGGCGCCTTTGGCGCCAAAATAGACTTATGTTGAGGGGGAAGCGCGCGCCAAAAAAACTAGACCTTTTGGTTAAAATTTTTCAAAAAGTGCCTACAAAACTCCTTTTTTTCTAAAATTTTGGCTGCGGCGCAAAAATATTTGGCCAAAACAGGGTCTTTTTAGTGCTTTGGGAGAATTCGGAAAATCAATTTTGTCGACCCTAAAAAAATGTTGCCCTAATTTTCGATCATCCCCCTCCGCCTCGAGAAAACCCTAGATCCACCCCTGCAATCAAGCAATCGAACCTGAATTTGCATATACCACCTGTGTTTGCAAATGATGATCTACAGTCAAGATGCTGTACATTCAAAAATATTGCACAAAAAAATTAGTTTTCATTGATCACTCGTAGAATAAGCACCCAAAATACCTACAGATATTTTTACTCGCTCGGTTGAATTCTCATAATAAAACATTAACATTTAGAATTTAAATTGTTTGCTCAATCATTTTTTAGAAGATCCTAAAATATCAAGTACTTATAAAAGCTTTGACAAACTTCATCGGCTTTTTCAAAACACACTCAATGAATATGCACCTATTATACAGCAAAAACATACAGAAAAAATACCTCCATGGTTTACAAATCGAATAAAAAACTTCAGAACCGAGAGAAATAAATTGCACAAAATTGAGCGATATGAACAATTTATACCAATTTCAGCGAGCGAGGCAACAGTTAAAAGAAATAAAAACTGCTAAAAAGACCTTAAATTCAATAAAAGTAACGTAGACTCCAGATAAACTTTCAAACTGCTCAATGAGCTTAAAGGAAAACAATCGAGTTCATTATCAAATCCCAGTCTTTCCTCATGATGCGTTATCACCGAGCATCCTTCACCTTCGACTGTGGTGGAACAAATCAAAAAAAATTTTTTAAGCATGGGTTTAACTATACTTAATATATTTGAGTAAGGTTTATGAGCGAGTAATGAACAACAGAGCATATGCATATTTCGAGAAATTCAATTTTTGTTTTATAATCAATAGTTTGGATTCAGAACTAAGCATAGTACTATTGATGCCTTAGTAGAGGTAATTGAAAGGTTAAGACATGAAAAAAATTGCAAAAAATCAATTTTTTCTTGGATCTCAAAAAACTTGATACTATTGATCATAACTTGCTAATTCAAAAATTGAAAGTTTACGGAATCAGAAGCAAAGCATCAGACTGGTTGAGCAGTTATCTAAGTAATCGTCAACAGCGTGTAGAAATACCTAGAAAAAGTTCTTGGAGGAAACAATGTTTGCGTAGGGCCACAGGGCTCAATTTTAGGTCCTCTGTTGTTCCTTATCTATATAAGCGATCTTCCTAGTGCATGTAAAAACACTGAAGTGTTTCTATTCGCAAACGATACAAAATTAAGTGAACTAGGATGCACAGCTTTATAAGTTCAAAATGATTTGAACAATATAAGTGTTTGGGTTAAATGCTAACAAACTAGCCTGAAAATTAGACAAATCAAGGCAATTGAAAGTAAGATTGAGTGCTTCCAATTTAAACCAATCATTTCCTATCAATCATAAAGACGTTAAAATTGCATCTTTTTGCAAGTATTTGGGATTAGAATATACTCCAAATTATCATTTCAAACACAAATTCAATATGTTTCAGAAAAATAGCAACTCAAAATGGAATCGATTGTAAGCTTCGCCATTTTGTTCTCAGAGATCAGCTCGGCAGGGGATATGATCCCCTGCCGACCCAAAAGGTCCCCATTTGTACTATTTTGAGATATCCTAATATCTATTTTTGACTGACTGACCCTAAAATTTTTGTAAAGGCGCCTTTGGCGCCAAAATAGACTTATGTTGAGGGGGAAGCGCGCGCCAAAAAAAACTAGACCTTTTGGTTAAAAGTTTTCAAAAAGTGCCTACAAAACTCCTTTTTTTCTAAAATTTTGGCTGCGGCGCAAAAATATTTGGCCAAAACAGGGTCTTTTTAGTGCTTTGGGAGAATTCGGAAAATCAATTTGGTCGACCCTAAAAAAATGTTGCCCTAATTTTCGATCATCCGCCTCCGCCTCGAGAAAACCCTAGATCCACCCCTGCAATCAAGCAATCGAACCTGAATTTGCATATACCACCTGTGTTTGCAAATGATGATCTACAGTCAAGATGCTGTACATTCAAAAATATTGCACAAAAAAAATTAGTTTTCATTGATCACTCGTAGAATAAGCACCCAAAATACCTACAGATATTTTTACTCGCTCGGTTGAATTCTCATAATAAAACATCAACATTTAGAATTTAAATTGTTTGTATATTAAATGAAATATTATGAAAAGAGCACATGTTAACTAACTAGATATATTATCTATCAGAAAAATCCAAAATTTTTATCTCACGAAAGATAGAAGTTCGTAATTAAATCTACACTATATTTGTTCATAAGATCAAAGGACAATGATGACAAATTGTATAGATAGGCTAGGCAGTCACAAAGAAATCTGTTCTTCACCAAAACGGACACCACCCAATATAAGACTGACAAAGATTCTCATGCGACGTCGCTTGTGTGATCAGTTTGGAAACTTGAGTTTCTACATCCAAGATCGCATTCGGTCCAAAATCTGCACCGTCCAACTTGTCATTCACGCGTTTCAGAACATCCAATGCCTTTCTATTTCCCTCCGGTTGTCCAACTGCATGTCCCAAGTTCAGTGCCGCGTCACCCGATGCTCCGTTCGTCGCAGTCCCTCGGGATGAGCCTCGTTGGTGTCCGTTATTGGAAGTTGGCTGCCCATTAACAGCTCCGTTACTTCTTTGAGAATGATACTGCGATTGCTGGCTGCCATGGTACGGCACATTCTGCTGATGACCATTCCTCATGTCCAACGCCAGCCAGTTGAGCAGCGGGTCGTTCACGAATGCCTCCAGAACTGCAATAAGACTGTCCTTGTTCTGACGTAATAGCCGCATAGTTGTTTCACAAGCTGCTCTGTAATTACCCTCAATTCCATTCACTTCCATGGCCTTAATTAACATCCTCGTCAGCCTGAAAGGAATCTTTTCTGGAAACTTTTCCCGATGGACCGCTACTTCGAAGCAGTCACCAAAATCAATGTGAATAATGTTCCCTGTAGTTCTTTCCAGCATAATATTAGAAGGATGACGATCACCCAAGCCCAAAATATAGCCCACCATCGACATCACAGCTAATGATTTGGTGTAGGTCAGACGCCTCTCGTACCAGATCTCAGAATTGGCACTGCGATACCACATGATTTTGGCCAGATCCATGCCATTGGTATTGTTCAGTGCATTTTCGAACACCTCCACTTTCTGCATTTTGGTAAGATGGTCGTAATCCGGGGCCATTTTCTGCATCAGTCTGTGCTCCCAGTTGAGATGTATTTTAGTTTTCTCTCTGTACTCCTTGATCAGTGTATGCAGGGGGTCACAATGCGGCACCCAGCCACAAAGACCAGAGTTAGTAGAGAGTGGGATCACTGCGTACTGGGGTATGGCACCCAAGTTCCGTTTGAGGTTGTGCTTGTCTTTGTCCAGAAGCGAGTTGACCAATCCAAATAACTGAAGAACTCTCTCATCCTGTCGCATGTCTTCGTGCCCTGAAACAGTCAATTATTCGAGTGAACTCTCATATCACGGTTTAAACAATTTAAGCTTACCATTCAGGCAAGAAGCGTTACGGAGATCTGATTAAGCTAAACTTTTTCCTCAACCATTCATCATTTGCGCCACGATATCAAACTATCTTGATAGACGAACTGCTTTCTGAAAATTTAAAGCAATAAAAAATAATAACAAATTATTATTTTTAGTTCAGATAAAATTTCAGAAAACTATTGCAAGGAAATCAGAAAACTATATCTGCCCACGGGCAAAAAAATTGCGAAAACATTTTTAGGGAACCCTGCCTGGGTGTAATCTCCTAAATTTGTCTAATTAATTATATTTTCCCGAAATTTAATGGAAAAAAAAACAAAAACGCCAAATCAAATAATCAACAATTTATATGAAAGTAGGCATTTTATTTAGCGCAGCCTTTTTGAAGATGTACTCGACAATCCTGAGTTAAAACAAAAACTCACTTTGATATAATTTTTTCAACAATTGATCCGGTCTTTTTGGCGTTTTTTTAACAAATTTTCGGCCCTTATCAAGCAAAAAAAGTACCATGTTTTTTTTTCTGGAAAAACTCTGAGCAAACAATTTTGTTTGTTTTGTCTGGATAATTCCAATCAGCACTGCATTACGCCTCATTCAAAGATAGTACATGCATCATTCAGTAACAAGAGACAATATGGAGCTGCGCAACTTGCGATGCAAACCATTCATGTAAATATCCGTAAGTCATGACTAAGAGCAAACCCTATAACCAGGAAACAAATTAGCTGATAAAATGGTAAATCGGCGCCTAAGAAAATGCTTTTTTCATTTGTTTATAGTAACAATTTCGACAGAAGCGGATTTAGCGGATCTGTAAAGCAACATCATTTTTGGCACAAGCGGATTCAGGGAGAGGTTGCCCCTTCTCAAGGATTCAACCCCTTGACCACCCAAAGGTACCCACATTTTGTATTAATTCACGGCATCCATTTTTGGTCAATTAACCTTAAAAAAATTGAAAGACGACTCCAGCACCAACATATACACATCGGCAAATAGCTTCACACCAGAGCTTTACACCATCTGCAATAAAAAATGAATGACCATCACCACTTGCAGATGAATCCACAAAGCGAAAAATGAAAAAAATTGAAACAATTTTATTCGTAAAAGCTACAAATATTGCAAAAACATACCTTTACAAATATTACAAACAGAGGCGAAGCAAAGCTTCGCACTACTTGCGATACAAAACATACATAGCATGACAATAAGCCACAAATTTGGAGATAATGCCGTAGGAAAAAAAATCGAAAAATTAATTCCATCAAAAATTTTCCTACTATGCCATAATTTTTGTCATGAATAAAAAAAATCTTTCCGAAAAAATATGTCAAAATACGACGAATGAATGTTAAACACTTGCATTAAAACCGGGAAACAAAAAAAGTTTAAAAAGTCGAAAAAATTGAACTGCCGAGAAAATGAAATATATCAATATGAAAAACAATAGTTAAAAAACCCGCCAAGACAAAAGAAAGTGGAAAAACGCATCGGAAGAAAATTTAGCAAGCGGTATAAAAAAACGAAATTACCTGAGCAGCTACCATTTCAGCTAAAAAAAAACATAAAAACTAATAAAAAAGTTAGAGTCCCCCTCTCCCTCAAAACACAGGCACACGATCATTTAATTCGGTAATCAAACGGCGCAATATAAGGACACAATCGATAAAACATAAGCAGGTATATAGAAGCCAACCATTATTTTTGAAATGGAATATTTCCGGTTTAAAAAAAACAGGCCTGATTCGAACCAAGGACCAAACCCAGGTAGTCAGATTCAAACCCAGGGCCTTTGCCATCCCAGGCGTATTCGTTACCTTCTCACTAAGAGTTCCGGAGACGAAAATAAGTTTTAATTCAAATGAGCTAAAACTATACTTACCATTTCTAACTTTGACAGTTCTGTCAACAAAGCTATTTACGGGGTAAAAGTCTAGTACCCGGTTTCAATACATTTGCTATCGCAAGCGTAACACAGAGGCAAAGCAGAGCTTAGCAAGGCTTGCGATGCAATTAAAACATTGCATAAAAAATTTGAAAAGAAAATAAGAAAGTCCAAAAAGTAAGCTGGAGAAAAAGTCCAAAACAAGTAAGCTGGAGAAAAAGTCCAAAACAACTATCTACAAAAGCTCTATACTTTTGTTTCCAACGATGTTAATGAAAAGCCTTAACAAGCATTGAAAATCAATGACCGAGAGGCAACAAAGGCGAAAAAACTTCGGCCGGCCCTCGTTACGCCGAAAACGACAGTGTAGACAAAAATATTCAAGCTATTAACTTTTTTGGAGTAAAACTGTTACGCCCTTTTCCTCCTGAAACAAGCAGAATCATTGAAACAAATCGCTCTTGAAATTGTGCAAAATGAGTTACCTAAGCCGATATAACATAAGCCGAACCCATTTAATCAGAAACTAAAAAATTATTAAAAACCAGAGTTGGTAAATTTATAAACTACAGAGCAACTTTAAATTATAGCTTTGAAAAAGAACCACTTGAATAGCTTATCAGACGAACTAAATTGCATTTGAAAAAGAAACCGGAAAATCAGCAGAAAGAAATAAAGACGAAAACCACAAATCCGAAAAAAAAAATGTTTTTAAATAATTATTTTTGAAAGAATTAATCACTACCCCACGTGAACTAAAAAGTAGTTTTAATTGATTTTCAAGAAATTACGCATATCAGCCTTTCATCATGTCAGAATTAAGCATGTCGGCAGAATTTGTAAGAAAAGTTGTATGCAGGAAAAAAGTCTAGTGCCCGATTACAAGTCACTTGCTCTTGCAAGCGAAATAAGCATCAAAACAAAACTTTCTAAGTGATCACAAAAAAAACTTCAAAATTGCCCCCCTCCCCTCCACACCCCCCCCCCCCCCCCAAAAAAATCAATTAGCTAAAACTGTTTTGCTCATCAGACGACTCAATAAGAGGCCACTAAGCCGATAATTTATAAGCAGAAACCTTTTATGCCTTAACCTTTTAAGGCAAATAAAGAGAAATAAGAACAAAAAAACTAATTTAGTGAAATCAGAGTCGGTAAAATTACAACCACCATAAAAAAAATTAACAAATTTAGAATAAACTGCCATTTGAAATGCAGACATGCTTAAAAATGACTGTCCATTGTCGAAAGTACAAATTTAGAGATGATCACCAATTCCAACAGAGTCAACTTGTGAACAAGTCTAGTACCCGTTTGCAACACCCTTGCTTATCCTAAGGGTAACTAATTTTGAATGTCACCTGAAAAAAGATCGATACTTTTCTTAACTTTCCAAACAATTAGAAATATTAGAGCAAACACAACGCATTTAATTCGCAAATTAAATATTGCGTTAAAGGCTCTCTCGGCTGGTTCAAAAGCCCTGCATGAGACCCTACAAAGTTATCTGGCTTTATTTATACGTCTTCAGATATTTTATTTGAATTTTTTAAATAAATTTTGAGTACAGTGCCTTCGAAGGCTGCTTTAAAAGAAGCTATTGCTAAGTTGATTCAATGTTTTGTTAGGCCAGAAATTGATGTCATAAGAAAGAATCAAAACGCTGTATTGTTTATCTTACTAGTAAATAATCATTTTTGACTCAAGTTATAGAAAAAAAACAATTGAACAATGTTATCCTAACAAAATCATAGCCAAAGATGGTCGGAAAAGCGTATAAGCACTCAATACATCAAAAAATAGTTGAGAAATACTGAGAACTTTTATTTCAATTTAGAAAGAAAAAATGTCACGCTAAAATTCTTTGAATTTCAAGAATTATTTCTGATAGTTTTTTTTTCTTAAAGTTATTTCCATTTAGAGAAAACTGAATCAAAAAATTTTAAAAATCACAATCAAAATCATAAATTATTGTTACACAGAACTTATCATTTTTCTTCCAAAAAACTTGTCGCGGAGAAATTGGGTTTACAACTTTTACCAATGACTCATTCGCCTCCCTACCTTATTAATCAATAAAAAACAAGCTCAATATTGAAGAAGCCTTAACCGATTGTTAATATTTTTACTTTCCCAAAATAGCAAGGCATTCCTTCACATCAACAGAAACCTTATTAATTTGGCATTTGAAAATTTCCCAACTAATAGATTAAAATTCTACCACCAGACCGTCACAAACGGAAAAACACAGGAAAACTTCTTTTGAATCTATTTTCGTTTCCGGTTTATTTTTTCATGCGCTCCTATATTCGGCTCATCCGATATTATCTTAACTCAACAAAACATGTGAACAAAACATTCAAAAACAAATAGAAAAATCATTTCATTAATGAATTAATGTTAGTTCCTTCTGTTTTTTGATAGAATTCGCCAGAACCTATCCAAAGGGCTAAAAATAAAAAATAAAATAGAAAACTACATCATTTTTAAACAACTTAATCAAACTTTCCGTGAAATCTTCACACAAAAACCTGAACAACAACAAAATGAGAGCAGACTCGCCTGATAAAGGTCTAGGGTTCTGCCTGATGACTGAAAAGGCCTACTTGGCAAAACTGGAAGAAATCCTGACAGTCAAACAATTCATTAAGAAGGAAATTACTGACCTGAAAGAAACTACTCTTATGGAAATGTGACGGGAGCAAATATTGAGATATCAACAAGAAATCTAAGTGAAATGCTTGAGGAGAAACAGCTGGACAAACTCAGACGGTCCTCTTCCAAGGCATCAAAATCCAGTACACATACGCGCTAGCAAAGAAGCAATAGAGCTAGCTTACATAAAAATGATGCAACTCGTGGTCACTGTAGTCTGGTTCATAAGTGGAGAGGAATAGTACATTGAGAAAGATGGTGTTGCCATAGGGCTGCATTGGGAGTGATTCCAATCAACTTGTGGCTGAAGGAGCTTGACCCCTGCATAGCTGCGGAGAAAGCTCCCCTGTTGAATGAAGACTGCTTAAGTAAATCATGGTGATCAAAGGTTGCATCGGG